CATCGCTTTTTTGTTTTTAGTAACGTTCAGTTATACAACTCTTCGCCATTTAAAGTGGCTATATTTGAAAAGTATAATAGGACAGTTTTGTTTGGTGCTCATCTTTTCCTTCACAGCAAGACCATTGTGGATGCAATGTTCTGTTCACCAATATATCAACTGCATCATATTTATGTTTAAATTAAAACTAGCATGGTTATTAAGGATGGGCAATGCTTTGGAGTTGAAGCAAGGGAAGGCTGCTACCGGTTTGCAGCGGTTGAAGTGAACTGGTTTTTAATTTTACGGCCTGTTCGGCGAACCGGCGAATCCCACCTCTGGCTGGCCCTGTCCACCCCTCCCCTCCCCTCCCACCCCAGGAGTCCCCATGTGGCCCATTTTGGATTGCAGGTAAGTGCAAGGCCTGTGAGGTGTCTCGGGGAGGGTGAAAAATGGGCCTTCTGGAAGTTCTGGAAGGCCGGAGACGGGCCCGTTTCCAGCCTCCAGAGAGCCTCTGGAATCTGGGGAGGGCAAAAAAGCCCCCCTCCCCCCGCAACCCATATTCACTCCCAGGATGGTTCAGGAGGCCAACTAGGCCATGCCCACCAAGGCCACGCCCACCCAGCAATCAGGCAGAGAACCGGTTGTTAAATTATTTGAAGCCCACCCCTGATTTGAAGGCAGGGTTGAATTGGAGCACACAAGAGTTAGCTACACAAACAGGGGGGGGGGGGGCATGATATTAAAAACAGCAAGCATGACCTGGTTCATTAAGACCTTCATCCCTTTTCACACAAATTATTAGGGGCAAGACTTTATCTATTGTGCCTGCCATTTTGATGTCATTGACACATACAAATGCACACCGTGAATGCTTTTGCACACGAGGGAAAAGACTTTGACTGAAGAAATTGCACAGGAATTTTGTTGCATTGTCTTATGTACCAAAGTCCAATAACGTTTCTCCTTGCTATTATTTAGTGGATATTTCCACCGTATCCATGAACATATTGACATACATGTTTGGGGTTGTTATAGAGAGCTGTAGATATGTTTATCACTCAGAAAATATTCAATTATGTCACGATGTACGTTTTATTATTAATTCTTAGTAACATTTCTAAATTGCTCCGTTCCCCCAGACTTCATAGAGTATACAGTCATGAAGAAAAAATTAAAAACAACCTGCAGTTCTGATTGAGTAGATTTAAAAAAAAAAAAAAAAAAAAGACTGTAAGAGCTTTCTTTTTCCATAGACAAGTGATCACATTAGAAGAAAAGATGTTGAGACTTTGGAAAAAGTGCAAAAAAGAGCAACTAAGATGATTAAGGGATCGGAGATAAAAGCATATGAAGAAAGGATGCAAGAATTGGGTATGGCCAGTCTATAGAAAAGAAGGACTTAGGGGTGACTTGATAGCAGTATCCCAGTGTTTGAGGGGCTGCCACAAAGAAAAGAGGGGTCAAGCTAGTCTCCAAACCACCAGAGGGCAGGACAAGAAACAATGGATGGAAACTAATTAAAGAGAGAAGCCACCTGGAATTAAGGAGAGACTTGAACAGAAGTTGCCTTCAGAAGGTATGGGCGCTCCATCACTGGAGGTTTTTAAGAAGAGACTGGACAGCCACTTGCATGCAATGGTATAGGGTCTTCTGCTTGGGCAGGGGGTTGGATTAGAAGACTTCCGTAGTCCCTTCCATCTCTATTCTGATGGATCTATTTTAGCATCCCTGAAGAAACTCAGCAGGTAGGTGCAGAGGCAATGAGAAAGACCACTATTATTTTGAGAAGTTTAGTGACCTATTTTGATTTCACCTTCCCATTAAGAAAAGCCTAGATGTTTAGAGCTTATTCTGAGTTAACCTGCATGTTTTTCACATTTGTCTGTTGAACAAAGGAGAAGATAATTTTCACATAGCTTCAAAGCTATGAAATCCTTAGATGTTTTCTGAGTGCCATCCCAGAGTCAAAAGCCATCCAGTTGAAGTCAGGTCTCGAAGTCTCCTGACCATTAGCAGGGCCATGAAGTCATGGTGCCAAATTTCGATGAAAACCTTTGAGGACTGTGTTGCTTGTGGGGAGTTTTTTGCATGGAACATAGCATCAGGTATTGTGGAAACTGGCAGCCCTTGGGGTATCTCTGCTGTCATTATGAAGTAGCTCATGGCAGCTTGTTAAGAGATGTATTATTTTATTTGGTATGCATGCTTCTTAATGTTATGCTTTTAGCTAACCATAAGGTTAAATAAATCCCTTTCTCTACTTGCACTTATTTGTCTCTGGACTTGCACTTATTTGTCTCTGGATCCAAAAGAACTGATTGTCTGGTATCTGATCATTGCCTTGACACTTGCAAAACAGCAGGTGGCAATCCAGATGTTCAAGGGAGTATTTTTGTGTCTCATATTTTCCAGTGCAACAAGAACTGTACAAACTCTGCCCTCCTCCAGATTAAACATTAAAGAAATCTACAGAAAATGGTAATGAGATATGCATGTGTGTGTGTATATATGTATGTGTGTGTGTGTGTGTGTGTGTGTGTGTGTATATATGTATATGTATGTATATGTATATGTATATGTATGGTAAGTACCCGCGAAAACTTAAGAAAACATATATATATATATATATCTTTTCCCGTGTAAGATTAAGAGTATCTTGGCGACGTTTCGGCGAGGTCCCACTCGCCATCCTCAGGCTGGTGCTTTCAGCTTCGTGCCAGTGCAAGCAGGCTTCTGTATTGTAGCCTGATGATAGCAGATGAGATTCTGCCAAAACGTCGCTACAACTTTAAAAGCACAACTATAATGATGTGGAAAAATACCCAAACAAAGCTGAATACCATACATGTAAATACCTGCGAAAACTTAAGAAAACACACACACACACACACACACACACACACATGTTTATATAAAATATATATATATATATGTTTTCTTAAGTTTTCGCGGGTACTTACATGTATGGTGTTCGGCTTGGTTCGGGTATTTTCCCACGTCATTGTAGTTCTTTTAAAGTTGTAGCAACGTTTCAGCAGAATCTCATCTGCCATCATCAGGCTTCTGTATTGTGTACAGAATATATTCTGTATATTCAGAATATTCTATATATAAAATATATAAAAAACCACTATCCCAACACACAGCTTTGGTTTATAAAATACCAGCTTTCACGTTTCACACTGAATTGATTCACAGCTACGCAAACTGAAGAGGAAGTGAGTTTACAACACTCTCTGGCACAGAACAGTCATTCCCTTATAAAATTGAGGATACATTAAAAATAATAATTTTACTTGATGCATTATTGGGAAACAGCAAGCTTCCCTTTCTCCCAAAGTAGGGATCTCTCTCACACACACACCTCTCTCTCTCACACCCCTCTCTCTCTCTTTCTCTCTCTCTCTCTTTCTCTCTCTCTCTGTGTGTACAATAACCTGCCACCATCAGTAACTGCAGTTCAAACTTCTGCAGGCACCCACAACGCTTTCCATAAAAAATATTTGCCTTCTTAATTACTTCTAAGAATATTTGCCTGGATTATTTTCAAATACTGGAAGCAATAGCACTTAGACTTATATACTGCTTTACAGTACTTTTACAGTCCTCTCTAAGTAGTTTACAGAATAAGCATATTGCCCCCAAACAATTTTGGGTCCTCATTTTACCCAACTCGGAAGGATGGAAAGCTGAGTCAACCTTGAGCCTGGTGAGATTTGATCTGCCAAATTGCAGGCAGCCGGCAATCAGCAGAAGTAGCCTGCAGTACTGCACTCTAACCACTGTGCCACCAAGGCTCATAGGAACCAGTTGCCAAGCATCTGAATTTTGATCATATGACAATACTGCACCCAGTTTTGGTCGCCACGATGTAAAAAAGATGTTGAGACTCTAAGAAAGAGTGCAGAGAAGAGCAACAGAGATGATTAGGGGACTGGAGGCTAAAAACAGTTGCTGGAATTGGGTACGTCTACTTTGATGAAAAGAAAAACTAGGGGTAACATGATAGCAGTGTTCCAATATCTCAGGGGCTGCCCCAAAGAAGAGGGAGTCAAGCTATTCTCCAAAACACCTGAAGGCAGGACAAGAAGCAATGGATGGAAACTAATCAAGGAGATAAGCAACTTAGAACTAATTTCCTGACAGTAAGAACAATTAAACAGTGGAATGACTTGCCTCCAGAAATTGTGAATACTGGAAGTTTTTAAAGAAGTGATTGGACAACCATTTGTCTGAAATGGGTATAGGGGGTTGGACTTGACTTCCAACTCTTCTCTCCTCTTCTTTCTCTTCTCTTCTCCTCTCCTTCCATTCTATTCTATTCTTCATTACTCTATTCTATTGTATTCTATTCTATTCTACTCTATTCATTATTCTATTCTATTCTACTCTACTCTATTCTTCATTATTCTATTCTACTCTACTCTTCATTATTCTATTCTATTTTATTCTACTCTACACTAGTGTAAAAAACAATCATCACTTTTTTTCAAGTGCTGTTGTAGTTTTGACCAGTCACTAAATGAACTGTTGTAAGTCAAGGACTACTGATAAATAGACAGTTGCCTATCCACTACAAATAAATGTAGCATTTATTAGAAGGAATGGAGACACATGGAATTTGTTTTTATTTCATTTCTATTTGGTTGGATCGAAGCATGTCCTTCAGATGCCGATAGACAAGTTAGCTTTCACAAGATCCTTTTGATTTCACGCATTCATGCTTGATGATATTCCCCCACCCAACCGATGTGGCAAGCAACCGTTGCCATTTCTGCAATGATAATTTACATGACAGGTCTGTACAATAAATTAAAACTGTATTTCATCGCAAAACTCCTGTGGATCTTCCCCGATTCTACCAATTACCTACAAACAAAAATGATGAGATGAAGCAGCATAATTCTAGCAGCATTATTTCGTAATCCACAAACAACGTATAAATCCCGTTGACTTTTTCGTGGTTGGATCCCCCCAGCAGAAAGAGTCAAGAATGAGATTTTAGTGGGTTTTTAGTCAGGTTGATTGACCATGAAGGCAGAAATTGTATCATTTAGTGTCAGGTTTTATAAATCTGTATTTTCAAACAAAAAAATATTTTCCAGCCTATTTCACTGGAAGTATTGAAAAAAAAACCCACCTGTGTAGAGGAAAAAAATATTGAACAATATTATTTTCTCCCAGAAATCCTTATTTCCTAAAGAACTGAAGAAGCTTCTGGGATGAGAAGCGAAACGTCTTCAAGGAAGAACAAAGTCCAGTTGCTTTCTGAAAAAGCACCTTTGGAACAACCATGATCTGGAGGACTAAGAATCTCTCCACAGACCAACATTGTTTTGGGAAATAAATGGAGATATTGATAGCGGCAGGTATCAGTACAAAATTATTAAGGTTCCCAAATTGAATAGAGAGCACTTCAACATTTACACTTAAATACACTGAAAGTCTGTACACTGTACATTAAAATAATTCATTTCTTTGATGTCCATATCTGAAGGGCTTCTAAGTCTCATCATGGAGAGCTCTGGTCCTCAGTAAGACCATGTGGAGCTCATGAAGAACATTTGCTGGCAGCTGCTTCTCAGGTTCCAGCTGTGTTTCTCTAGCTTTGCTCTCATTCCTTTTTGGGGATTTTGATTCCTTGCAGGATCTGCGGTCCAAGTTCACCACACCTTCAGCCATGTCGTCCAGACAGATCAGGCTGCGATGCTTTCTTCCTTGGTTCCAGAATTTTTCCTCCTTTCGTTCTTTATGTTGAACAACTCGCGATACTCGTTCCTTTAAACTGGTCTTTTCTTCAGCTAAGTCCCGTTCTGTTTCCGGTTTCGAATTCTGTGCAGAGATGGAGAAAGAGTTAAAGATGGAATCATTCGTATCGATTGTTTGTAGCCTACCTCTGGGGACTTAAGTCCTTCCAACTTGCTCTCCAAGGGTTTCCGTTCTTACATGATTAAGATAGATAGGAGATAGATAGATAGATAGATAGATAGATAGATAGATAGATAGATAGATAGATAGATAGATAGATAGATAGATAGACAGACAGACAGACAGACAGACAGATACTGTGTTTTCCCCAAAATAAGACCCTTATATTTTTTGCCACCAAAAAAGGCACCAGGTCTTATTTTCGGGGGATGCCATCTACTGACTAACCTCACTTGCGCACCTCACCCCCGGCCTCTTTTCGCTGTCCGAGGCCTTCAGGAACTTCTTCTTCTGCGGCCAGCAAGGCTTTCCTGAAGGCCTCTGCAGCTGATAACTGAGCTCTGGATCGATCCAGAGCTTTGGTATCAGCTACAGAAGCCTTCAGGAAAGCCTTGCCGGCCTTGACAGCTGCAGAAGAAATAGGCTGGCGAGGCAGGTGTCGGGGTGTGTTAGGTCTGGCTACAACTGTCCACAGGTAAGTAATAGGGCAGCTCCACCCCACCACATCCCCACCTGAGCTAAATTTTTGCCCGTTTACTCTGGAGTGGGTGGGATCTCAATTAGGGCTTATTTTGGGGGTACATGTAAAAATCAAGGTAGGATTTAATTTCAGAGTAGGTCTTATTTTCGGGGAAACAGGATAGATAGATAGATAGATAGATAGATAGATAGATAGATAGATAGATAGATAGATAGATAGATAGAGATAGAAGGGAGAGAGGGGAAAGGGAGTGGTATAGAAAAATATATGCAGTTCATGGGAGAGAAATTATTAGCTCAGAGTTGAACTATGGAGTCCTCGGTACTCTCTGGGCTTGGTTGTTGTCTTGCAGACATTTCATTAATAAATAGCAACCTCATCATCACCCTCATCATAGCACTGATGATGTTACCTAGTTTGGTAATGAAACCTCTGAAATAAAACAACCTAGCTCAGAAAGCACCAAGGACTCCACAGCTCTCCTCTTCCTCCCCCACCATATTTTTTACTACCGGTTTACTTGAACCGGGCCAAACCAGTAGAATACCACCACTGGTCTTAAGTCACGGTTTTCAGTGCTGTAGTAACTTTGAACAGTTCCTAACAGATTTCCCTGTTATAAATCTAGGACTACCTCCATAGAGGAGACACAGAGGAAGGGAAAAAAAAAAAAAACCTTGCAGAAAATCCATTTTGAGCCAAAGAAACCGAGATACTTGAAAGTAAACAGAAATTTATATTTTGCTGTTATCGTTCATCATTTATGAAATGTTTCTTTGGTGTTCTCAAAGTGGCAACTCAAAAAAAAAAAAGAATCATATCCACATGGACAAGCCATCTGTTGTGTTCCCATATGCTTTGAGGGATTTCTACTTGAGCGGATGGGTAAAGGCAAGACTGTAAATTTTTCTACCTACCTTACCTCAAGATTGCATAAAATGCTTAAATTCAAAAGGCTTAGTTGTTCCTCCCAGGGGGAGCTTAAAATCCATCCTCAAAGATTTTGAAGACGCAAAAAGAATTTGGTTGCTATGGTGCAAAACCACTCCTGATTTGATTTGTTTTGTTGTGTTGGTTTTTTTGACTCAAAAAGAACATTAAAATGATGTAAATCTATTACTGAGTTCCAGATCAGGCTGAATGTACTGCTTTATGTCTAAAATATACACCTTTCAAAACTAATTTTGTAGTTTAGGGTTTCCTGGGACATAGCAGTGGTGTAAAAAAAAGTGAATACTTCATTTAATTTGAAAGAGTTCTATTTGATTTATTGAAAACATAACCTGATAAAATCCACTCTGCATATATAGTATATATTGAGAAACACACCCACACATATACGTCAGAGTATATTCATGAACTGGAATAGAGCATGGGAACAAGGTCAGCCAATGAATAGGCATAGCAACTATGTCAGCTAATGAGGACAGTTTGGAAACTGAAACTAGATGTAGCCTAGGCTGGAAACTGAAACTAGAAGTAGTCTAGGTGTGGCTCTATATTAAGCTCTGCAACTCTGCAGCTATGTTGAGCTCTGAGCCTTATTGAAATGAAACTGCTTCTCTCCTCTTGCTTGCCTGCTGAACTAAAGTAAAAAGAGAAACTAACTTGCTTGCTTGCTGAAGGCTGGAGCTCTGCTCTGAAGTTACTTGCAACATGTTTATTTCTGTCTGAGTTTGCTCCTTGTTGGAGAAATCTACAACTGGTATTGTACACTTATTATGTTTATAAAGATGTTAAATGAAGCATCAGCCATCTGTGTTTATTTTTCTGGTGCTGAATTAATGCTGCAAAACTCTGAACAATATAGGCACACAAAATACACACCCAAATAGCACAGTACGTATAGATAGTCCTTGACTTATGACTACAACTGACTCCAACTTTCTGTTGCTAAGTGAGATAGTTGTTAAGTAAGTTTTGCTTCATTTTACAATGTTTCTTGGCACAGTTAAGTGAATCATGACAGCCGTTCAGTTAACAACCCGACATTTCTGTTGTTAAGCGAGTTTTGTCCCCATTTTCTGACCTTCCTTGACACAGTTTTTAAGTGAAGCACAGAGGTCCTCAAGTTAAGTAACAAGGTTGTTAAGTGAATCCGGCTTCCAAAATTGACTTTGGCTTGTCAGAAGGTCTCAAAAGGGGATTGCAGGACTCCGGGTCATCAATATGAATCGGTTGGCAAGCACCTGAATTTTAATCATGTGACCATGGGGATACCACAATGGTCATTAAGTGTGAAAAACGGTCATGAGTTCCTTTTCATCACTGCCATTGTAACTTTGAACAGTCACTAAAGGAAATTTTGTAAGTCAAGGACTGCCTGTGCTTTAAATACAAGCCAAGATTTTCCTAACATGGGCTTCTTTAGTTTACAGATATATGTCCTTCTTTAATGGTTACATTTAATCTGCCTGCAATTTGGTAGTTTGAATCTCACCAGGCTCAGGGTTGACTCAGCCTTTCATCCTTCCAAGGTGAGTAAAATGAGGACCCAGATTGTTGGGGGCAAGAGGCTGACTCTGTAAAACGCTTAGAGAGGACACACTATAAAGTGGTATATAAGTCTAGGTGCTATTGCTATTCCCTCCCTCCCTCCCTCCCTCCCTCCCTCCCTTCCTTCCTTCCTTCCTTTCTTCCTTCCTTCCTTCCTTCCTTCCTTCCTTCCTTCCTTCCTTCCTTCCTTCCTTCCTTCCTTCCTTCCTTCCTTCTTTTCTTCCTTCTCTCCCAGTAATCAGAATGTTATATTACAGGCTAACTCTGCCCATTGCCAGCAGTTCGATCCTGACTGGCTCAAGGTTGACTCAGCCTTCCATCCTTCCTAGGTGGGTAAAATGAGGGCCCAGATTGTTGGGGGCAAGAGGCTGACTCTGTAAAACTGCTTAGAGAGGACTGTAAAGTGGTATATAAGTCTAAGTGCTATTGCTAATCACATATTTCCTTCTTTTTTATTAGTTTCAACAAATAAAACTAATGAGTTAATATAAAATACAAAAACATAGAAGCAAATAATAGGAAAGATAGGGGAAGGAAAAGGAAAGGGGAAAGTGTAGAAAAGAGGGCAAAAAAGAAAGAAAAGACGTCGACTTCTGACTCCTTTTTGGAGCAATAGAATAAGATAGTGACATCAAACTTCAACTGTTTACTTTTGCATAATACTACAAACTAGCCATTTCTAAACAACAAAGCTACCTCATTGGTGAAACCCAAAACCAAAGTTTCATTTTTTTTTCACCTCAAGCACAAAGTTCAGAAGCAGTTTCCAAGTTACAATTTCCTTCTTTAATAACAAGGTAACAATGTCAGCTACACAAACTTACATGAGAAACGTTTACCTCAAGTAAGCTGGCTTTAGTTCTTGGGAAACTTTGGTTGCGTTGAATTGGTATTAAAGGTAGCCCAACGATTTTGGGATTTTTTGTAACAGATGGTTTCCTTGCCTTCCCGCTTAGTGGACACATGGCCTTGTGCTGCAGAAAAGAACATAGAATTGATCACTTTTGTTGCCAATGTGAGGTATGGCATTCCATTTACAAATCTTTAGGAATGGCAGTGTATGTGTCAACTCATAAAACATTCCTATGCCTGCTTTAGTAGTTGCCATAGAAATAGAGAAGGAAGGAAATCTGGAAGAGCAGTTGAAAGCAAAGGTACATTCCAACTCTTATCTTTTAAAGATTGTAACTAAAATAGTAGAGCTTTTGCCCGTGAATATATTTAATTGGAGAATGTGAACGATGAACGTGCTCAATTGGAGAATCTGGTTTATGACACACCCAGGAGGAAGGGGAAACAGGGTCACAGGGGACTGTAAATTACGTATGCCAGAGTTGGCTTCATACAGGGCAGTGCCAGCATGTCACCTCTAATAAATCCTTTGAAGTTTTTTGAAGTTTGGCTCGAGAATCATGATTTAATTAGAGCGATTGCTGGAATCCTGACAGTATGTACAAAACAAATGTTCTGGAAGCACCTGGAGGTCCATGTTAACAGAACAGATTTGGAAGCGACCTTAGAGGTATTCTAGACCAGGGGTGTCAAACTCGATTTCATTGAGGGCCGCATCAGGGGGGTGTTTGACATTGGGGGGGTGGGGGGGCATGGCTGGGGGCACGGCCAGCTCGATGTCACTCATCAAGTCTCCGTCTTTTGTTGTGATGGCCTCCCTTTGCAGCCATCAGGACTCCTGCAGCCAATAGGGCTCCGGGAGTTACTCCCATTAAAATCATGAGTCTTGAGCCAAACTTCCAAAACTTAAAAAGGATTTATTGGGAGTTAACATGCCAGCACTGCCTGGGTGTAGCTGACTCTGAGACACATAATTCAGTCACCCTTGACCCTGGTTTTTCCCTCCACCCCCTGGTTGGATCATAATTCATATTCTCCAATGGGACGCATCCGTAGCTAAGAGTCATCAGTCATACTCTCCAGTTAGAATTTTGCGCAGCAGAAACTTCAGTCACCTAGTTACTATCTTTGAAAACATTTATGGAATGAACTTTCAATTTCCAAGCTGTCGCACTGCTACCCCCTCCCTTTCTGTTGGCAACTCTAAAAAGACCGTAGAAATATTTTATGAGTTGACACTCTGCCAATGAAAATGGAGCTTGGGGAGGCCGTGCATGGCCAGCTCGGGCTCTGTTTTCATTTGGAGAGGGCTGCCGGAGGCTGTTGCAACTGACAATGAAGGTTGGGCGGGCTGTGTGTGGCCTCCCTGAGCTCCATTTTTGTTGGCAGAGGCACCATGGGCCAGTTCTTTGTTGTTTCCAGGGTGGGCCCATGGGCCACATCAAAGCATCCCACGGGCTGGATCTGGCCCCTGGGCCTTACGTTTGACACCCCTGTTCTAGACGGTCCCTCAAACAACCTGGTGCCAAGCCATGAAGGGCTTTAAAGATGACATCCAACACCTTGAAGCAAATCAGCAACCAATGCAGCTCCCGCAGGAAAGGCGATACATGTGAGTACCAAGATCTGCACATGCGGGTCACTACATTTTGCAACAACTGGAGCTTCCGGATGCTTTTCAGGGGCAGCCCCATGTAGAGCGGGTTGCAATAGTCAAGACGGGTTTCTTGTCCTGCCCTCTGGTGCTTTGGAGAATAAGTCAATCCCTTCTTCTCTGTGACAGCCTCTCAAGTCCTGGAAGAGAAGATTTCATATCCCTCTAATCCTTCTCTCTGATAGGCTAGATATATCTACCTTTCAGCATGATTGAGAGCTTCTTCCCCATTTCTGTTTTTTCTTTTGTTGAGTTGGGTAGGGTTTGTAAGTGCATGTGTGCTGTCTTCGCCTACGTTCACTCCATTTGAGTTAAGAGCCGTGGTGGCGCAGTGGTTAGAATGCAGGCTATTTCTGCCGACTGCCGACTGCCAGCAGTTCAACAGTCCGATTCTCACTGGCTCAAGGTTGACTCAGCCTTCCATCCTTTCAAGGTCGGTAAAATGAGGACCCAGATTGTTGGGGACAATAGGCTGACTCTGTAAACTGCTTAGAGAGGGCTATAAAGCACTGTGAAGTGGTATATAAGTCTAAGTGCTATTGCTATTTATTTATTCCTTCCTTCCTTCCTCCCTCCCTCCCTCCCTTGGTGGTTAGAATGCAGTATTGTAGGCTAACTCTGCCCGCAGCCAGCAGTTTGATTCTGACTGGGTGGAGGTTGACTCAGGCTTCCATCCTTCCAAGGTCAATAAAATGAGGACCCAGATTGTTGGGGTCAAGAGGCTGACTCTGTAAACCACTTAGAGAGGGCTGGAAAGCACTGTGAGGCGGTATATAAGGGTAAGTGCTATTGCTATTTGAAAAAATTACATTGTTGTGTTTTCTCAGTCTTCAATTGTGCTGTTGATTTTCAGCAATTATGCTGCTCCGAGACTGTGAAAATAAAAGACCTGGGACTATACTTGGTCTAAATATAAATGGTAGAGGAATCAAAATAACAATGTTAGCTTTAATAGAACAAAGAGATTCACTAAATGCAACATAGCTCTGGGAATAAATTACCGGCTTTCCTTATTGAAATAATGAGATGATCTCAGATGGAGAATTTAATCAGTGAAGCTTCTAAAGTGGAAGCTGTTGTAGAAATGTGTAATTCCAGTTGCTCATACAAAGACTGGATAAATATAGTATATGCTCCAGACACAACAATGAATTAGACATTCTAGATTCATAATAATTGTTCCTGGGACTGGACAGAGCCAAAATTGGTTGAGATTTAAGTGCTGAACCTATTGTTACTAAAGTCAATCATGCATAACTTGAAAATTGCCACTTTAATTGCAACAAATATTTTGTTTTTTGCTTCAAAGTGTGTGTGTGTGTGTGAGAGAGAGAGAGAGATATTTGAAAAATAAGTTGAGAATAAAAATGAAGCCAGAAAACTAGGGGAATGTCAAATGGCAATAATATATATTTCCTGTAGGTAAGGAATGAAAACAAACCAAGGCCCAGATCAGGCCAACATGTTACAGGAGTAAAACTTAGAAAGTAATTGAGGTTAACGAAGTGATAAGATATCCTTGAAAAAATGGAAGTTATGCCTAAAGAGCTACAAACCTGTATTAAATCAGAACACCTATGGTAATATGTGGAGTCTCTTTTTAGATGCAGTCCGCCATTTCTGATTTTCATACCAACATATTTTCTCAAGAATGTTAATCAATACGTTCTTAAGAGCTTGTAAATGGAATGATTAAAATTATGGATGGCCCTGCTTTTTACACAAGCTGCAAAGCTGTTCCACATTAATTCCCCTTGAAATGTTTCCATAAAAAATATAATTATTCCAGTTATTGAGACTAGAGACGAGTATAACACTATTATGAGATGACTTAATTCCAAGAAAGACTTGTATGTTAGAAATACAAAATCCAGGAAACTATTAATTAAATAACAACTCAAAGTGAACTCACTTTCAAATTGTCTTGAGGCTCCTTAACTAAGAAATTAAGATATATATGGGATGTGTATATATTTGTGTGTGTCTGTGTGTGTGTGTAAAAGAGAGGGAGGGAGGGAGAGAGAGAGGAGAGAGAGAAAGAGAGAAAAAGAGAAAGTGTGTGTGTGTGTTTCCCATCTTTACCACAAAGCCAGCTGGGTGATCTTGGGCTAATAATTCTCTCTCAGCCCTGGGAAGTAGGCAAAGACAAACCACTTCTAAAATCTTGACAAGAAAAAATCAGGATTTGGGCACATACACGTAAATAAATAGACACACACAGGAACACAAAAGTCCAAATGCTCACATTCCTGCTGATTGATTATCTGTCTGTCTATGTATCTCTATCTTCCTTTAACTCTATCCATCCATCCATCCATTATATCTATCTATCTATCTATCTATCTATCTATCTATCTATCTAT